TTGTTTTTATTTCAAGGGTGTTGGTTATTTCTCCTCTTTAATTATTGATTTTGTTTATTTAGGTACTCTCTCTCTCTCTTTTCTTTTTCCTGATGAAAAGGTTTCTCAATTTTCTTGACCTTTTTCAAAGAACCAGTTCCTGGTTTCAATCTATTCTCTTGGGTTATTTTTAGTTTCTATGTCATTTATTTTTGTTTTCATCTTTATTATTCCCTTTCTTTGCTGGTTTGGGGTTTTGTTTTTATTCTAGCTTCTTTGGGTATATGGTTAGGTTGTTTGAGATATTTCTTGCTTCTTCAGATAGGCCTGTATTGCTATAAACTTCCCTCTTAGAACAGCTTTTGCTGCATCCCAAAGATTTTGGACCATTGTGTTTTCATTTTCATTTGTTTCCATGTAATTTTTTATGTCTTCTGGGATGTCTTGGTTGACCCATTCATTGTTTAGTAGCATGATATCTAACCTCCATGTATTTGTCCTCTTCGCAGATTCTTTTCGTGTGATTGATTTCTGGTTTCATGATATTGTGTTCAGAAAAGATGCATAGTGTGACTTCAGTCTTTTTCTATTTGTTGAGACTTGTTTTATGTTATCTCTTCTGGAGAATATTCTGTGTACACTTGAAAAGAATGTATATTCTGCTCTTTTTAGGATGGAATGTTCTGCAAAAATATGTGTTAATCCATCTGGTCCAGTGCGTCATTCAAAGCCACTGTTTGCTTTAAAAACAAAACAAAACACAAAGCCACTGTTTCCTTGTTGATTTTCTGTTTGGATGATCTATCCATCAATGTAAGTGGGGTATTAAGGTGCCCTACTTATGGAGTGCCTGGGTGTCTCGGGCTCTGTGCTCAGCGAGGAGTCTGCTCCCTCTCACTCTGCTCGCTCTCACTCTCGCTCAAGTAAATAAATATATAAATAAAGTGTCCTACTTAATGTATTACCTTTGTTTTTCGTTGTTGTTTTCCTTTTTGTTTTTTATTAATTGTTTTATGCTTTTGGGTGCATAAATACTTACAGTTGTTTATATATTCCTGTTGGATTGTCTCCTTTATTATTATAAAGCATCCTTCTTTGTCTGTTGTTACAGTCTTTGTATTAAAGTCTATTTTGTCTGATGCAAGTATTGCTACCCCGGCTTTCTTTTGACATCCATTTGCATGATAGATGGTTCTCCACACCCTTACATACATTCTGCAGGTATCTTGGGCTAAAATGAGTCTCTTGTAGGCAGCATATTGATGGATCTTGTTTTTTTTAATCTGCCTTGTCACCGTATGTCTTTTGATTGGAGCATTTAGTCCATTTATATTCAAAGTAATTATTGATAGTTATGTATTTATTGCCATTTTGTTACTTGTGGTTGTTTTCATAGAGTTTGATCCTTCTCTTGCTCTCTGTCATGGTTTGTTGGCTTTCTTTAGTAATGTACTGGAATTCCTTTCTCTTTATTCTTTGCATATCTATTACTGGTTTTTGATGTGTGGTTACTTTTAGGATTGTGTATAACATCTGCACATAGTCTGTATTAAGTTATGGGTCACTTAAATTTGAAACTGTTCTGTATTCCTCTCTCTCCACATTCAAGTATATGGTGTCATATTCATCTTTTTATTTTATGAATCCTTTGACTGATTTTTACAAAAATATTTTTACATTCTCACTTAGAGTCTTTCCTTTAATACTTCTTGTAGGGTTGGTTTAGTGGCCATGAACTTTTTTGGTTTTGACTGAAAAATTGTCTCTCCTTCTATGCTAAATGGTAGCCTTGTTGGATAGAGTATTCTTGGCTACAGATTTTTCCCTTTCAGCACTTTGAATATATCATATCACTCCCTTCTGACCTGGAAAGTTTCTTTTGAAAATCCACTGCTATATGGTTTACTTGGTATGTAACTGTTTTCTTTTCTCTTGCTGCTTTTTTTTTTTCTTATTGCTACTTTTTGCCATTTTAATTACTATGTGTCTTGGTGTGTGGACCTCCTTGGGTTGAATTTTTGGGGAGCTCTCTCCACCTCCTGGATCTGTTTCTTTCCCCAGACTAGGGAATTTTTCAGCTATTATTTCTTCAACTTTTCTGCCGCCTCTTCTTTTTCTTCTGAGATATCTATAACGTGAATGTTATTACACTTGATGGAATCTGAGTTCCCCAAAAGACTCTTCTTAATTTGAATAATTTTCTTCCTTCTCCTTTTCTCAGCTTACCTCTATTACAGTCTTCTGGGTCATTAATTTGTTCCTCTACTTCATCTAGTCTGCAATTTATTCCATCAGGTGTATTTTTTTTTTTTTTTTAAGATTTTATTTATTTTTTAGAGAGCAAGCGAGAGAGAAACAGCATGAGAGGGGAGAGGGTCAGAGGGAGAAGCAGGCTCCCCGCTGAGCCAGGAGCCCGATGTGGGACTCTATTCCAGGACCCTGGGATCATGACCTGAGCCGAAGGCAGACGCTTAACCATCTGAGCCACCCAGGCGCCCTCCATCAGGTGTATTTTTAATTGCATGTATTGTGTTCTTGATCTCTGGTTCTTTTTTTATCTGTGTTAAGGGTCTCATTGATGTTCTCCACTCTTCTCAAGTCCATTGAGTATCTTTATGATCATTACTTTAAATTCTCTATTAGGCATATTACTTCTATCCATTTTGCTTAGCTCTCTTGCTGTGGTTTGGTTCTGTTCTTTCATGTGAGAAATGTTTTTCTGTCTTCTCATTTTGTCTGACTTTCTGTGTGTTCGGAAGGTCAGCTACTTTGTGCTTTTAACACTAAGTCTTTTTATGAAGAGAAGTCCTGTAGTGCCCTGCAGTGCAGTGTCTCCTATTCCCCAGGGCCTGGAGCTTCAGGAAGTGTTTCCTATGTCTGTGTGTGTGTTCTCTGCTGTTGAGGCTTGACCTCTTTTGCATTCAGTCCAGTTGTCTGTAGATATTCTCTTTGCCTATTGTGGGCAGTGTTTGGTCTGCAATAGGGGGTGGGGTGCATTTTAACAAAGTGTGCAGCGGTCTGGTTGCAAAATGAGACCTGCCCTCTGCAGGAACTGAGGTTTCACAAAACGTGCAGGTTGGGAAATGTGGTGTTGGCAGGGTTTGCGCCAGACTTCTCAGGGAGAGGATCTGCAGCTGTGGTACTGAGGCAAGTGTGATTGAGAAGGGGGATCCACTGAAGCATAGGGTTGGAGGTTTTGCAGCGGGGCTTGGTGTAAGCAAGTTAGGTAATGACTGTTGGCTTCACTGGTTCCCACAAGTGGCCATTGTTTATAGTGGGGGGCAGGGGAGGGAAATGGCACCTGCCAGCTCCTTTGTTCCTGGAGGAGTGCTGTGTCTCCAGACCACACTCTGAAATGAGGAAATCACTCTCCCTTCTGTCTGCCGTCAGTGTTTTTCAAACTGCTAGTTCTACACTATATGTTCTTGTGCTGCTTGTTGTGCTGTCTCTTTAAGGGTCTGAACTGGGCTTCTTAACACCCTCTGCACTCTCCCAGAGCTGACCTCTCTGATTTTTTTTTTTTTTTTTTTTAAGATTCCATTTATCCATTTGACACCACACAAGCAGGGGGAGGGGCAGAGGGAGAAGGAGAAGCAGGCTTCCCGCTGAGCTGGGAGCCCGACACAGAGCTCGATCCCAGGACCCTGGGATCACGACCTGAGCTAAAGGCGGATGCTTAACCGACTGAGCCACCCAGGTGCTAGGCTTTAAGTCTCACTGGGTGTAAGAACTCAAAAATTCAACCCCTCTCACTTTCAAAGGCAAATGTTACGGGGATTCATCCTCCCCATTCAGGGACTCCCCAGTGCGAAAGTCTAGTTTTTGCCCTTCTCCCCACCACCAGTTTTCCCACCACAGACAGCCACAATCCATTTCACTCCCAGACCACATCTCTGCCCTTCGTACTTTCTTCAGTGTGGCCTCCTCTCTACCTTTAGTTCTGGAGTTTGTTCTGCCAGTCTTCAGATCATTTTCTGGGTTATTTACCCTGAAATGAGTGTTATCTAGTTGTATCCGAGGGACAAGGTGAGCTTAGGGTCCTCCTACTTTACCATCTTCCCAGCCAACCCTCCACATTTCTCCCTTTTAATAAAGTTTCTTTCAAAGTACTGCTGATCAACTCAGGTTTTCCATATTTGGTGGTTTTATCCCTCAGTGTCTGGAAGAACCTTTCCTGGTTGTCATGTGCAGTATCAGAAAGAATGTGTATAACAGTAGGAAACCACTTAAAGCCACTTTTGAGTAGCAAGGAAGGTTAAGAGGGAGAAACTCTCAGGTGCTCCCACTAATCTTCTTGAGGTCATGTTGGAGATCATCTCAAAGTGTTGAGCCAGCATCATGTTATTGGGTCCATTGTTTTAAGTTCAGGCAAAAAAATACAAAACTTAAAATAACTTCTGCAAAACAGAAGTAACAATTCCAAATTGTATGATGGTTCTAAACCAGATTCCACGGCAGGACTCTTGGTCTGAAAGTAGCCAGTTGAAATACTTATTGGCACTTATTCCAACTTAGGGGAGAAAGGTTCTCCTTATGAAGGCAAACCTGGAGTCGTGTATGCCTCCTTTCTGAAAGTCCCCACTTAAAGCAATAATGAAGACAGAATAGTAGATACTGCAGAAGCACAGTGAAGGAATTAACCAAGTGCATTTTGGAAGATACAGTGCAGGTATAATCATGAAGCAATAGCCAGTGAACTTTTTGCAAAACGGTAAAACTTGAAAGGTTGTTTTTTAAAATAGTATTATCTCAGAAGTGTTTAGAACCAAATGTGCTATTAATAATACAGTCAGGGAGCACCTGGGAGGCTCAGTTGGTTAAGCGTCCCAATTCTTGGTTTTGGCTCAGGTCATGATCTCGCAGTAGTGAGATCGAGCCCCATGTCAGGCTTAGAGCAGAGTGTGCTTCAGATTTTCTCTCCCTCTCCCCCCCCCCCCCCATCTCTTGCCTTACTCACGCATACGCGCAGGTGCTTGAGAGCTCTAAGATAAACAAAATCTTAAAAAAAAAAAAACGGTAATACAGCCAGTAAGTTTGCAACGTTAGAGACCATTAATTTGGGTAAGAATCCAAAGTCAGTTAATAGTTCAGATGAAATAAAATTTTTGTGAATTCTGAATCTTCTAACCCTTCAGAAAAAGCAAGTGAAAAATTAATTTGTCCTGGGATCATAAGGATGTTTCCTAAAGACCATAATCAAAAGAAGAGGTTTTTTACAAGGGCTTGGGAAATGCAGAAGAGTACTTTGACTTTCCATGAGAGAGGAGAGGAGTGAGAAAAAGGTATACAGCCTGGTCCAGACATCTTGGGAAGGCGTGTCATCAGATGTTATCTGCTTCAGTTCCAGGAAATCTATACTTTCAGGTCACCACATGATACGCAGGTCCAGTCAGGGTTTGGTGCTTTCTTTAGGTGTGTCACATGAATCAGGAGGCTTCTCTGCAGTTTGGAGACACAAGGTTTGGTTTGTAGTTCCTGATAAGAGCCTTTCTAGTGAGGTAGGAAGGATTTTGGAGGTGCCTTCCCCAACAAAAAATCATCGGGTTGCACAGTGTAATACTTACGGTCATTGTCTCCCCCTAGAGTGCACTGTGAAAAACATGTACCACAGCATGGTTATTTTTGATAGAAACAGGTCTTTACACTGTTGAAGTTTATCTTCTCTTATTACTGTGTGTCAGAGGGGGCAGGGGCCAAGTGTATTGGACATCCTGTGACTGTCTTAGAGAGTGAGAGTCTGTGAGTTCCAAACCGGTGGATCTGAGATTTAGGACCAGTGGCAATGCTTTTGGTCAAGGTTTTTGAAGGGTCTCTACAAATTGTACCAGTTGTGTCTTAATAGTGCCATTACTGCATGCAGCTAACTCTGCGGTTAAGGGTGACATGCACAAGGAAAAAGTTGTAAAACTGGACAAACAGCATTGACTTGTCAAAGCACCTGACCAGTAAAAAGGGTTCTCCAATCACTATGAAATTCAAGAGGGTTCCCAGGTAGGGATAATCTTTTTTAACAGAATTTTAGCCACAGAAGCATTATTGCCTTGTCTACGGAGGAAGGCTTTGGTCCAGAGAGAAAACATACAAACCATAACTAAAATATTTATCCATGAGAGGGAGAAGTTATATGAAATCTATTTTTCCAAGCAGGTTTCTGTGGAATGTACTTTGGACAAGTAGGACCAGTGAGGTAGGCACTTTTTGCAGCTTTATTAACTTCCCTCACCAATATCAGTTGATGAATGCTATTATCAGTAGACCACAGGTTTAATGCATGTACAGAGGTAAGTATTGGGAATCTTAGAATTACTGGTAAGGCCAGACTGTTATTTGGTCCAAACCAGAGTTCTCTTTATTGAGCCAACAATTACTACTTTTCAAATACTGTTTCTGTTTGCCTGGGGCCAACTGTTAGATATCACTTGTCAGTTTTTCCAAATTATATTTGGGAGAACATCCTGTGGACTTTGACAGAGGTCTGGCTACTGGTCTCCTGAGTGCAGCATTTTTGGCAGAAAACAGATTGTTCCCTTTGGCCTCCAGGGAGTTAAGTCTGGAATGCCTAGGAACCTTAATAATAGCTAGAGCGACTGGCAAAACTATGACATCTAATACATTTTGGACATATAAGTCATTTTTATTCTCGTTGGAAGTAAGGACACCTTGTTGTTTCCATAATATTCCAAAGTCATGAGCTTTCCCCAAGGTATACCGTCAGTATAAACGTTTGTTAGCTCCACCCTTCACTAAGGTACAAGCTCAAGTAAGGATGTGTAATTCTGCTCAGTGACTTCAAAAGGAATATGCAGTAACATGCTAAGCACATTATTTACCATTTTTATCCTTTAAGAACCATCAGTAAACCATGAAAAATCTGCATTGGTCAAAGGACTTTCCTGTAAATTGTCATAGGGAGTCAGAAGGTGAGCTGTCAACATTAAGCAGTCATGAGGGGTTTCATCCGTGAAGGAGGGGACAGTAGCTATAGGGCTAAGGTTATTGCAATGAGAAAGAGTTACATGAGGAGCAGTTGGCATGAGGATTTCATAGGAGGTGAGCAAGAGTGTGAGGAGAATTCAGGACGGCTTCTGCATGGGGCACAAGAATTCTTAAAGGGAATCCTATTTCTTCAGTGGCCTAAACTAAAAAGGCAGTGGCAGAACTGGCTTCGAGGCAAGGGGGGATAACCCCTGCCACAGCATCTAGTTGTTGGTTCTGATAGCCTATGGGTCCATGGTGCTCCTCATATTTTGGGGTCAGTACTCCAAGGGCATTCCCTTCCTTCTTAGATACAAAGGAAAAAAGGGAAGTTGATAGTGAGGATGTTCAAGAGCAGCGGGCTTTATTATTTATGAGGCTTTAAGTTCTCAAAGGCTGTGTTATCCCTATCTTTCCAAATAATAGGGTTATGTTTGTCATTTTTTAATAAGGCATGTAAAAGTTGAGCCATAATAGAGAAGTTTGGAATTCAGTTTTGAGAGTGGCCAGCCAGTCCAAGAAAGCTTTGTACCTGGTACTTACTTTTAGGTTTGGGGAAATTCAGGATGCCTTGAAGTCTGCCTGGATCCAAATGTAGTCCTTGTTCTGCGATCAGGTGCCCTAAGTGTCTAACTTGAGTTTGAGCAAACTACAATTTTTCTTTGGAGATTGTATGTCTTTTTAAGGCCAAAAGTTTTAACAGGTACATGGCTATCTTCTTGTGAAGAGGTCTGAAAAGGGGAGCAGTGAAGCGTATCATCTACATTTTCTAAATTAGAATCTACAGAAAATTTGATATCCAAATCAATTTTTAAGGTTTGTGAAAAGGAAGGACTATCTGAAACCTTGGGGAATTACTGTCCAGGTGTACTTCCGTGTACTTCTTTTCCTTCCAGATGAAAGCAAAAAGATAGTGGCTCTCCCTATCAACTAGAATACTAAAAATGCACTGCATAGATAAATTACAATGAAAAATTTCCTTTCATTAGAAATGGATATCAGTAGCATATGGGGGTCAGGAACAACAGGGTGCCAAGAGCGGATAGCAATGTTATTTAGTGCTCAGAGATCCTGGAAAAACCTCCATCCTCAGCCACTGGGTTTCCTCCCAGGTCAAATACATACCACAGGGACTGGGGAAGGGGATAGTGAGGCTCTGGGCCTTGTAATCTTGTATTATGCGTTTGACACCTAAAGGGCTTCTTTACTTACAGGGTATTGATGAATTGTGGGATGAGGTTTTGAAGACTTCATTTGAATTTTGATGGAAGGTACACTGTGGATTCTGCCAATATCATTTGAGGATGATAGCTGTAAAAGAGGATGGTAGCTGATTCAATAGAAACAAATAAAAGATGCCAAAGGTCATTTAATTCCCCTGGTTGGCTATTTTGATTACTACTCTCAAATTCTAGAATTATTTCCCTCTTTGGGGAGAAAGAAATTCTGGCATGAGATGCTTTTCTAAGAAATTTAGGGCAATAGGGGTGCAATAACTAAGGGAAAAAGAGCCTAGACAAAAGGAAATAGATTCAGAGACAGGAACTTGTTGAGGTTTATTAGAGATCTCCACTGTCCAAACCATTTTACTGCTCCAGGGTACGGGCAGCTTGGTAGCAGTGGGCTGAATGACAGAGTGTAGCTCTGGTGTCAATTTGGAGAGAGATTTGTTCCCAATCTGGAGAGTGATTTCTCCAAGCTGATTAAGAGGAAGGTGCCCCTGCAGTTCCTCAAAGTCCCATCATTGGGAACTCGGAGGTCATCAGAAAGACTGACTAGAAGGCTGAAAGTATCTGGAGAGCTTAAATTTATAACAGCCTTTCCTCCCCCTTCCCCGCCCCCACCACTGCCCTCACTCTTTGCAATAATAGCAGAAACTAGGTTTTTTTGGTTTTGTGTTTAGGGGCCTTCATTTGCCAGAGTTGAAAATTGATACTTTTAGCAGTCTGTGTTTTAGGTGACTCACCTAGGATGTGAGCAAGCTGGTTTGCCATGGTAACTAAATCTGGAGTGGGCAATTTACCATTTCATCCTGGTCTTTTTAACTAAAGGAGAAATTCCCAGTTTGAAACATTAATAAACATAGAGTTAAATGCTACCTGGGTGGATTCAGCATCTAAAGATCAGAATTTTCTTTAAAGACAATTTGGAGTCAATCATAATCGTCATGAACAGGTTCATCAAGCTTTTGTGTGCAAACCTGAATTTTGTTTCAGACAACAGGCTTTAGGAAAAGCTACTGAAATTGCTCGGTGGAGATTTCCAGCAAGTGTTCTGTCATCTTACCAAAGGTTAGAGGTTTGTTTTTCAGGATGTTCTCTAGCTAGTTTCATGCAGTGTTTGGCCTGGTTCTTACCAACAGCACATGGAATAATGGATGTAAATCTGAGAAACCAAGGTGGTAAGTTGGAATAACTATGTTAAATCTTCAGCCAACTTATTGGGGGTCTTCAGTCACTTGAGGAAAACTATAACTATAGCTCACAATTCAGCCTTAGTCCAGGGAACATAAGGAACTTGAGTTTTATTTAGATTCTCAGAAAACTTAACTTTAAAGAAGCAGGTTTTAATAGGTTCAGAAGAGGAGGGAGCAGCAGAGAAATTAGTAGGAAAAGGCAAGTTCAGCAGAGAGAATAGACAAAAATGGTGCCAGAGATGGGGCCTGAGTACAAGATGAGTGCAGATGAAGGGAGGGAGAAAAAGGCCTCAGAAACCATTTTGATGTCTTTTAATTGTTTGCCTCAGTTCATTCAGAAATAGCATTTTGCAAAAAGGCAAACTCAGAATCCTGAAAAAGTCTGGAAGCCTCAAAGTACTATTTAAAATAGGCATCCCAGAGATAAAGAGTTTGCTAGACAAACAAAAGTTAAAGGAATTCATGACCACTAAACTAGCCCTACAAGAAATGTTAAAGGGGACCCTGAGTGTAAAGACAGACCATAAGTAGGAGTAAGAAAAGTAGGAAATACAAAAGCAGTATAAGTAAGTATATCTATAAAATCAGTCAAGGGATACACAAAATAAAAGGATGTAAATTATGAAACCATATACCTCAAATGTGGGAGTGTGGAGAAGGGTAAAGAATGGGTTCAAACTTAAGTGACCATCAACTTCATATAAACTGCTATATGCTGAAGATGCTATTTACAAACCTAATGGTAACCACAATTCAAAAACCAGTAATAGATATGCAAAGAGTAAAGAGAAAGGAACCCAAGTATACCACTTAGGCCAACTAATCAAAGAGAAAAAGAGAAGAAAGGAACAGAGAAGAACTATAAAAGTAACCATAAAACAAGTAACAAAATACCTATCGGTAGTTACTTTGAATGCAAATAGACTAAACGCTCCAATCGAAAGACCTAGAATGTCAGAATGGATAAAAAGCAAGACCCATCTATATGCTGCCTACAAGAGACTCATTTCAGACCCAAAAACACCTTCTAAATGAACATAAGGGGATAGAGAAACATCTGTCATGCAAATGGATGTCAAAAGAAAGCCCAGGTGGCAATACTTACATTAGACAAACTACACTGTTTTTTAAGACAAAATAGGCTTTAAAACAAAGACTGTAACGAGACAAAGGACAAGGGGATAATCCAATAAGAAGATATAACAGTTGTAAATATTTATGCACCCAACATAAGAGCATCCAAATATATAAAACAGTTAATAATATATAGAAACTGATTAATAGTAATGCAATAATAGTAGAGGACCTTAACATCCCACTCACATTGATGGATCATCCAAACAAAATATCAACAAGGACCGTGGCTTTGAATGACACATTGGACCAAATGGATCTCACATAACATTCAGAACATTCCATCCTAAAACAGCAAAATATACACTCTTTTCGAGTACACAAAGATCTTCAAAACATACTGGGCCACAAAACAAGTCTCAACAAATTGAAAAAAATCAGTCATACCATTCATCTTTTTTGAACACAACACTGTGCATCCACAAGAAAAATCTGGAAAGACAGGGCTCCTGGGTGGCTCAGTTGGTTAAGCATCTGCCTTCAGCTCAGGTCACGATCTCGAGGTCCTGGGATTGAGCCCCATGTCAAGCTCCCTGCTCAGCAGGGAGTCTGCTTCTCTCCCTCTGTCCCTCTCCCCCACTCGTGCGCACTCTGTCTCAAATAAAATCTTTTTAAAATTTTTTTAAAATTTAAAAAATCTGCAAAGAGGACATACCTGGAGGCTAAATAACATGCTACTAAACAATGGGTCAACCAAGAAATCAAAGAGGACATAAAAACTTAAATGGAAATAAGTGAAATCAGATTTTAGTCTGAAATTTTTTAGATGCCACAAAAGCTGTTCTAAGAGGGAAGTTTATGGCCTACCTTAAGAAGCAAGAAAAATCTCAAACAACCTAACCTTATACTTAAAGGAGCTAGAAAAAGAAGAACAAACAAAACCCAAACGACAAAGGAAGAAATTATAAGTATTAGAGCAGAAATAAATGAAATAGTAACTAAAAATACAGTAGAGCAGACTAATGACACCCAGAGCTAGTTCTTTGAAAAGATAACAAAATTAATAAATGCTGACCCAGACTTGTCAAAAAAAAAAAAAAATCAGCAAAGAGGAGAAATAACCGACACCACAGAAATATAAAGTATTATAAGAGAATATTATGAAAAATTATATGCCAGCAAATTGGACATCCTAAAAGAAACACACATATTTCTAGAAACATTTAACCTCCCAAAACTATCAGGAAGAAATCGAAAATTTTAAACAGACTGATTACAAGGAATGAAATTGAATCAATAATCAAAATACTCCCCACAAACAAAAGTCCAGGACCAGATGGCTTCATGGGTGAATTCTATCAAATATTTAAAGAATTAATACGTAGGGTGAGCATCCACCTTCAGCTCCGGTCATGATCTCAGGGTCCTGGGATTGAGTCCTGCATCGGGCTCCCTGCTCAGCAGGGAGTCTGCTGCTTCCTCTCTGTCAAATACATCTTAAAAAAGAAAAAGAATTAATACCTATTCTTAAACTATACAAAAAATCAGAAGATGAAGGAAAGGTTCTGTATTCATTCTATGAGGCCAGGATTTCCCTGATTCCAAAACCAGATAAAGACACTACAGAAAAAAAGAACTACAGGCCAATATCTCTGGTGAACAGAAATGTAAAAATCCTCAACAAAATATTAGCAAACTGAATCCAACAATACATTAAAAAAAAACTATTCACAACAAGTGGGATTTATTCCAGGGATGCAAGGGTGGTTCAGTATTCCCAAATCAGTCAACGTGGCACATCACAGCAACAAGGGAAAGGATGAAAAACATCTGATCATTTCAATAGATGTAAGAAAAGCATTTGACAAAGTACAACATTCATTCATGATAAAAACCCTCAACAAAGTAGGTTTAGAGGAAACATACTTCAACATGATAAAAGCCATATATGAAAAACCCACAGCAAACATTGTACTTAGGTGAAAAACTGAAGATCAGGAACATAACAAGGTTGTCCACTTTTAATCAACATAGTATTTGAAGTCCTAGCCACAGCAATCAGACAACAAAAACAAAAAGATCCAAATTGGTAAGGAAGAACTAAATCATTTAAAGATGGCTTGATACTATATATAGAAAATCCTAAAGACACCGCCAAAATAGTACTAGAACTGATCAATGGATTCAGTAAGGTCGCAGGATACAAAATCAGTATACAGAAATCCAGGGCCCCTGACTGGCTCAGTTGGTGGAGCATGTGACTCTTGATCTCAGGGTCATGAATTCAAGCTCCATGTTAGGTGTGGAGCCTACTTCAAAAAAAATATTTTTTTCCAGAAGTCCATTGCATTTCTATACCCTAATAGTGAAGTAGCAGAAAGAGAAATTAAGGGGGGGGAAAACAGTTGCATCAGAAATAGTAAAAACCTAGCAATAAACTTAACCCAGGAGGTGAAAGACCTAAATTCTGTAAACTGTGAAACACTGATGAAAGAAACTGAAGACGACACAAATGGAAAGATAATGCATTCTCATGGATTTGAAGAACAAATACTGTTAAAATGTCCATACAATGAAAGAAATCTACAGGTACGATACAATCCCTATCGAAATACCAACACCATTTTTCACAAAACTAGAATAATACTGAAATATGTATGGAACCACTAAAGACCTCAAATAGCCAAAGCAGTGTTGAAAAAGAACAAAACTAGAGGTATCACACACAAGCACAGGTCTCAAGATATACTGCAAAGCTGTAATAATCAAAACAGCATGGTACTGGCACAAATATAGACACACAGATCAATAGAAGAGAACCCAGAAATAAATCAATGATTATATGGTTAATTAATCTTCAAGAAAGGAGACAAAAAAGTGCAATGGGAAAAAGTCTCAAACAAATGGTGGTGGGAAAACTGGACAGCTACATATAAAAGAATGATACTGGACCGCTTTTTTATACCATACACAAAAATTAAACTCAAAATTAAAGACCTAAATGTGAAACCTGAAACCATAAAAATCCTTGAAGAGAGCACAAGCAGTAATTTCCCTGACATCAGGTCTAGTAATATTTTTATCTAGTAATATCTAGTAATGTCTCCTGAGGCAAATGAAACCAAATAAAAAATAACTAATGGAACTACGCCAAAATAAAAAGTTTGTGCACAGCAAAGGAAACAACGAAGAAAATTAAAAGCATACTGAATGGGAGATGATGTTTGCAAATGATGTATCTGATGAAGGGTTAGTATCCAAATATACAAAGAACTTACACAACTCAACACAAATATTCCAGTTAGAAAATGGACAGAAGACATGACAAACAGACATTTCTCCAAAGAAGACGTACAGATGGCCAACAGACAGACACGTGAAAAGATGCTCAACATCACTTATCATCAGGGAATTGCAAATCAAAACCCACAATGAGGTATCTCACACCTGTCAGAATGGCTAAAAACTAAAACACAAACAGCAAGTGTTGGTGAGGATGTGGAGAAAAAGGAACAACCCCCCCCCCCCCCCTTGTGCTGTTGGTGGGAATGCAAACTGGTTCAGCCACTATGGAATACAGTATGGAGATTTCATCAAAAAATTTAAAATAGAACTACCATATCCACTACTGGATATATACCAAAAAATACAAAAACACTAGTTCAAAAAGATATATGCACCCCTATGTTTATTGCAGCATTATTTATAATAGCCAAACCATGGAAGCAGTCCCAAGTGTCCCATCAAGAGATGAATGGATAAAGGTTGTATATACATACAATGGAATATTAGCCATAAAAAATAAAATCTTGCTATTTACAGCAGTGTGGGTGTATCTACAGGGTTTAATGCTAAGTGAAATAAGAGAAGGGACAACATACCATATGATTTCACTCGTGTGGAATTTAAGAAATAAACAAGGAACAAAAGAGACAAACCAAAAAAACAGCCTCTGAACTATAGAGAGCAAACTAATGGTTACCAGAAAGGAGATGGGAAAAAGGAGGAATGTGTGAAATAGGTAAAGGGGACTAAGTACACATATCATGATGAGCACTGTGTAATGTATAGAACTGTTGAATCACTATATTGTGCACCTGAAACTAATATAACACTATATGTTAACTATATTGGAATTAAAATTAAAAATTTTTTTCTGGGCACCTGGGTAGCTCAGTTGTTAAGCATCTGCCTTCGGCTCAGGTCATGATACCTGGGATCGAGCCCACATCTGGCTTCCTGCTCAGCAGCAAGTTTGCTTCTCCCTCTTCCACTCTTCCACTCCCCCTGCTTGTGTTCTCTCTCTCGCTGTATCTCTCTCTGTCAAATAAATAAAATTTTTAAAAAAATTTTTTTTCTGGGCGCCTAGGTGGCTCAGTTGGTTAAGCGACTGCCTTCAGCTCAGGTCATGATCCTGGAGTCCCAGGATCGAGTCCCGCATCGGGCTCCTTGCTCAGCAGGGAGTCTGCTTCTCCCTCTGACCCTCCCCCCTCTCATGCGCTCTCTATCTCATTCTCTCTCAAATAAATAAAATCTTTAAAAAAAAATAAAAAATAATTTTTTCTAATAAAAAATAGGCATCCTGGTCCACTGTGCTTTGTTTTTCTACCAGTCATAGCCTTTTTTTTTTTTTTTTTAAGATTTTATTCATTTTTTGACGGAGACACAGCGAGAGAGGGAACACAAGCAAGGGTAGTGGGAGAGGAAGAAGCAGGCCTCCTGCCCAGCAGGGAGCCTGATGTGGGGCTCGATCCCAGGACCCTGGGATCATGACCTGAGCTGAAGGCAGATGCTTAACGACTGAGCCACCCAGGCGCCCCCGGTTATAGCCTTCTAATTTAAATTTGAGTAAGACGAGTTTGGGAATTTAAAAGTTCCCCATAATGCCATTGAAGTTCAGAATTACTTTTGGCTAAGTTGATCCATTTAGTTATAAATGTGGATGCATAGGGACCATAGATTTTAAACATAAAACAAGCCAGAATCCCAGAAAGATGGAGAGGAAATGGCGGGGGATGGGGGGGCACCTTCAAGCATTTTGATGACTGGGTTCCCATTTCATAGAGACTTTTCCCTAGAGCAGAGAAAATTTCTAAACAGCACAATTTCAACAGGAACAGTCTGGTTCCAAAAAGGAGTCAGACTGAAGGTTACAACAGTTTCAGTAGGCAGAGTCTGGGTCCAGAGAGGAGTTGGGCCTAAGACCAGTACAATTTTATCAGGAACAGTCCAAGTCCTAAAAAGAGTCAGACCTGGGGCACCTGGGTGGCTCAGTCGTTAAGCGTCTGCCTTCGGCTCAGGTCATAATCCTGGGGTCCTGGGATTGAGCCCCGCATCAGGCTCCCTGCTTGGCGGGAGGCCTGCTCCTCCCTCTCCCATTCCCCCTGCTTGTGTTCCCTCTCTCACTGTGTCTGTCAAATAAATAAATAAAATCTTCAAAAAAAAAAAAAAAAAAGAGACCAAAGGCCAAACAAGTAACCTCAAGAGATTTAAACACAAACAAGAAAAACTCAAGGCCCTAAAACAGATCCCAAATGAAGCCTGGGGAGCTTGAACACAAAGCATGGCACTCAAAATCCAGGGAAAAACTTACCTTCAAATCCCAGCGTTGGTGAGTAAGCAGCAAATCCACTTGGCTCTGTAGGTAACCATCATCTCACCAGCCTCAGAGTTGCTGACGGTCTTCACTGGATCCCATTTCTGATCACCAAGTTGTGTTAATCTTAAAAATAAAACTGTCCGTTATTTTATCAGCAAAAAAATGGATTTATTCAGGAATAAATTGCAGTCTAGGACAAATAGGACAAAACCATTGGCAAGTCCACAGAAGGAAGGAGAGGAATGCCCTTTTATAGAGGAAAGTGGGATATTGGGAAGGCTATTATAAACAAAAAAGTCCATTGGAGTAAACTGGGAACTGGAAGTATAGTGGCTTTTCATTGGCTGAGATGTGTGTCTCATTGGCTGGATTGTTCTGTGGGTGGAGGAAAGCCTCCTGCTGGGATAGCAAAGTAGTATCCATGTGCAAGGTCCTTCTCTTCCTCTTGGGTCTGGAATTGAGGAGTGATAGGGTGTGAGAGCTTGCCCTGCCGGCCTCTTGACTCCATTCTAAAAGGTTTCCTTTTATTTTCACATTTTTAAATCTACATGGCGGGGGGGATGTTTGTTCTACCTTTATTACATTGTGTTCAGATACTATAACCTTTACAGTTCTTGCAATCGAATTTGGAAATGATTATGGTGTTGTGGAAGTGCTTGTGTAATTATTTTTTGCAACTGTTCCGAAGTTATTTGAAAAGACATTTCTCTGTAAGATGTTTACTTGCAGGCTCTTGCCTTTTCTTTTGAATACAAACTTCTTTTTTTTATCTTTCCTATAATCCCACTTAAGAAACAATACTACAGGGGCACCTGGGTGGCTCAGTTGGTTAGCGTCTGCCTTTGGCTCAGGTCATGGTCCCAGGGTCCTGGGATGAGCCCCACAACAACTCCCTGCTCTGCAGGGAGCCTGCTTTTCCCTCTCCCTCTGCCTGCCACTCCCCCTGCTTGTGTTCTCTGTCAAATAAATAAATAAAATCTTTTTTAAAAAAAGAAGCAATACTACAGCTTGATCACTCTATCAAAATACAATATAACGCATCAAGATTCAAGTGAAATACATGAATCTCACATCAAATTTCTTGACTATAGATTCATTTTTCCAGTGACCAACCCTACTACTATTCATTCCTCAGATGTTTCTCTCCTTGGTTAGTAAAATTTTACTTTCACTTGGAAGCAGAGTGGTCTAGGGGAAAGAATATAAATTTTAGGTCAGACAGACCTGGATTTTAATCCAAGCTCCACCACTTCCATAAGTTTGGTTGACCAAGTTATTTAACGTCTTTAAACCTCAGTTTCCTCTCCTGTAATAAAAGAATAAAAAGCCAAGAATTAATACTCCCATCAGCTGCAGGGGCTACTAGCCTTCTTAGGAAAAGCACCATTGTTAGCAGTCTAAGAGAAAATAGGGAAGTAGGAAAAGCAAACAAAAACTGCATTTAACATGCAGTTTTAATACAGTAAATAAAAGTTTTGGGAGGCATATGTTTTCAAAACAAATAAGACTTAAGACCTGTTCCAGGGAGAATCCCTATTTCCTGCATCCCCTCATCAGATTTTGAGGAAATTTTTATTGAATTATTATCTACTAAGATAGGTTCTTCCTCAAGTGTTTTATTATGCAGAAGTTTTATTTTAGTTTTGAACTACCCATAACTAGTTTGAAATGTTATTTTTGTACTTACATTCTCTGTTTTTGTTTTGTTTTGTTTGCAGTCCTAGCAAATTTCCAAACTATTTTTACATTTAAAAAGGAGTGTGCTGGCTGGCTCAGTTGGTAATGCATGTGACTCTTGATCTTGAGATTGTGAGTTCGATCCCCACCTTAGGTTTAGAGATAACCTTTTACTTAAGACTTTATTTGTTATTTGAGAGAGAGAGCACGAGCAGGGTGAGGGGCAGAGGGAGAAGCAGGCTCCCCGCTGAGCAGGGAGCCTGACGCGGGGCTCGATCTAGGGACTCAGGAATCATGACTTGAGCTGAAGGCAGACACTTAACCAACTGAGCCACCAGTTGGTTAAGATAACTTTTTTTTTAAAAATTTTATTTTTAAGTAATTACTAAGCCTATAAACCTACTTTTTTAAGCCTGTGTTTTTATTCATGTATATGTAGGATGGGACATAAAAAGATCTTGCAGTACTATTGCTGTAGATCTTTCTATATAGTCTTTCTGAGAGGGAAGCAAATTTGTTATCATGTGCTTTTAAAATAATTGAACCAAATAGGCATTTAACTGTTAAGTCCTAGCCAACACAAACAAATGGAAAGATATTCCATGCTCATGGATTAGGAGAAATAATATTGTTAAAATGTCCATACTACCCAAAGCAACCTACTACAGATACAGTGTAATCCCTATCAAAATACCAACAGCATTTTACACAGAACTCGAACAAATAATACTAAAATTTGTATGGACTGAATAGCCAAAGCAGTCTTGAAGAAGAAGAACAAAGCCGGAGATAGCACAACCCCAGATTTCAAGACCTACTACAAAGCTGTAGTAATCAAAACAGTATGGTACTGGCACAAAAATAGACATATAGATCAATGGAATAGAATAGAGAACCCAGAAATAAACCCATGTTTATATGGTCAGTCTACAATAAATACTGACTAATCTTTTGGTTTCAAGTGATAGAAACTTAAGTTACCTTAAATAAAAAAGAGGTTATTAATTCAGAGGTTCTCAGGAAGGTTCTACCTACCAAGCTGTGGGAAGGGCAGAAATTCGGCTGAGTCTCAGGAGTTACTGGAGCAATGAAACATTGGCAGGATTCTCTGTCTGCTTCCCCCCCTTTGCTACTTTTCTTCGTAAGGCAGCTGTATTCTCAGTCATTGCAGAATTCCTTTACATAGGAGATGTAGTTCCCCACAGATTTTACACTCTTAGCCACTACAGAATTAAACATAATGATCTTTCTTGGCCATGTCAAAAAGCTCATGGGTAGAACTGATGGATGTGGCATGACTTAGTTGCTCTTTCAGGGACCAACTGACTATAGAGGGTGGGGTACTATGATAGGTTCATGTTAATAAGGTAGCAATCTCTAGACTAGTCAGCTGATTATTTTTACTAACCATGTGGGTGCTTGAAGGACTAGTTCTTAAAAAAAGAGTACTAGACAAAAGGCCATGTAGAGCCTCCTACCATAGGACAGTGGGATCCCATGGTTTTCATCATGTGCTGTGTAAGCCCGCAGAGTCCTTGTCACAGTTCATGGCAAGATCGGTTTCCATAAATAACTTACCACCTTAACTTGTACTGCTAGTCATGTATAAGCACAAACATTGCCTTAGACGATACGTACTCTGTGCAGAAGGAATAAAAGAATAGATGATACTTTTCCAGACATGTATCCACCTAAATAAGTATTCTGTATCTTAAATAATATTATAAAATGATTATCTTTTTTTTTTTTTTTTTTTTGCTATTGATAAGTTTATTTTCATTGATTTTCAAGATCTGCTGAACTCTGGATCTACGATCGGTCGGTAGGGCTATGTGGTGCCATATATATCTGCCTCTGGCTCCTAAAGTTCTGTTCACCATCTCCAGCAGGTTCAGCTTCTGGAAAAGCTTGAACTCTCTCATTCAGAGATCCTGTTCCTGGTCTTGTCTCTGTTCTGAGTCTTGATCATCAGGTTCTCTTTTTCTCTGGACATGGAATCTGGATCTCCGATTTTGAAACCAAATTTGGACTCTTTGACTCTGGAATGCCAATTTCTTTAGCAAGTTGCTCTCTGGTATCAATGCCAGGATAAGGGTTGTTCATAAATGCCTCGATGAGGGTGTGTAATTGCGAAGAAGTGTAGCTGGTACGACACCGTCTGTCTTCTCTACTTTGAATCTCCTCTTCAGAGTGATCTTGGTCTTGACTTGATTCTAAGTCCTCATCGGGTTCTGATTTTTTCTGGCACTGGTGCCTAGCTCTTTGATTCTGAAACCAAATCTGGATTCTGGACTCATCAGTGTTGATTTCTAAAGCGAGTCTTTGTTTGGTAGCATAACCTGGGTAAGGATTTTGGTGAAATGCCTTGATGAGGATTTTTAATTGATCTTCTGTGAATTTGGTGCGGCTGCGTCTCTGATTCATTGTTATGGTCTTGTTTGGAGAGTTGTCTTGGGCCATGTTGGAAGAGAGTTCTGAAGTCTAAGGATCCTATAAAATGATTATCTTTAAGTAATTTCCTAGTATGAAATGACTTTTAACTTCTCACTATCATTAGAAAGATGATCTTGGGCCTTTGTTGGACTCAGAGGTTATGTAAAAGTTTGTCTCAGTCTGTCAAATAATGGTTTTATTTTTACTTTCTGTTTCAGTGAGGAGGTAGATTTGGAACTTCCAAGCACTGAAAATGAATATGTATCAACTTCAGAACCTGATATTGGTGGGCAACCCAAGGTGATATTTAAAGAAAAAACAGTCACTTCTCTTGGAGTCATGGCAGATGGAGTGGCCCCAGTCTTTAAAAAGAGAAGAATTGAAAATGGAAAATCTAGAAATTTAAGGCAACGAGGTGATGATCAATAATTTAAAAAGAGCTTTTTGTATTTGCTTTTTGGACAGCATGGAGACTGTACATCTTGAAGTTCCTCTGTGTTTGTTTAAATGCTAAAAATTTAGATTTATTCTAAATGTATTTTATGTGAATCTAAAATAAATCTTTTTTCATGTGAAACTTATTTTTGCTCCTAAAATGGAAGCCTACCACATTTCATTGTAATACAGTGTATTATGTTCAGTGTCTAAAAATTGCTAATTGTGACATAATATAAGATGCTATGTATCTGTTACTTAAAACATGGAAAAGCAAGGCCTTTATTCCATTCTTACTCAAAAGCACATTCTTATCCTGCACTGAAAATGCATTACTTTTGCACACTGATATTAACTTATCCAAGACCTACGAATCAGACAACATAAGAGAAAATTCACAGGCCCATGATGGTTCAGTTCTGAGGATCCTGTCAGAAGGCTGATGGAGAAAGTGTATGTGTGTTAGCTTACCGTACTCAGTTTAAGGTCAAGGGCCAAAGAACAGGACTGCTACTCAGGTACTTCAAATGTAGCCGCTTAATATGGAATGAAAATTCGACCAAAGGTAGATATGTATATTTTCCCAGTTCAGCAACAAGCATTGCTTTTAAACATTATTACTTTGTTAGGCATTATGCTAGGAGCTGAAGATATAAAGATGAATAAGATATATCTTTGTTCTTCATGACTTCTCATGCTAGCATAGTCATTCCCACAGTCATGTACTCTGTTTAACAACCTTACATGTACTGGAAAATAAATTTTAAGGCTTATTTAAAGCTATGTAGATGAAAGCTTGAAAAAAATAGTATGGTCTCTGGCTTCCGTAAAGTTTTTAGTGTTCTCTTAGACAAATGGGAAATGTCTTATTTTCTAGTTAAATTTCTTAAAAAGTAGAATTTTATTTTATCCATTTGAAGTAAGTTTCTTCCCTTTATTACTCAAAATCTTAAAATTATATTTTTTATAAATTGTACAGTATTTAACGTTTGGTAGTAAATATTTGTCTTTTTAAGTTTACTAGTGTACATGTAAGAAAATGATAGCTTATTAAAAACTTTATGAAAAATAATATTGGGGTTTTTTTCCTTCTAATACTCAACAGAGTCAATGTAGCATTGGTGAAGCAGTATTTGGAGATTTGTCTTTATATTTGTTCAGTCTACTTATTTGGATATTTCATGAATATATAGCATGATGATAAAGAAATATTTTAGATTCTCAATAGCCCATTTGTCATCTACCTAAGCAGTGTATTTTGGTGCTTGACAGTCCTCAATTGAGAAGGTAGTAAAACCATAAATGGAGTGCTGCTTTATTTTACCCCCGTTTAGCTCATACAAAATACGCAAAAAAAAAAAAAAAAAAAAAAAACACCTTATCAGGAGCTTGGGAAGATGGTGGAGTAGGAGGCTCCTGGGCTCACCCCATCCCACGTTTGTAAGTCAATAAACAGAAGCACAATCCAAAGACTAGCAGAACAGACTCCACAACTAAATACAGAGAAGGAACTGCACCTGAAAGTTTAGGAAGGTCAGAAAGGCAGAGGGAGGCTACCCACGGGAGGGGAGGGAGCTGTGCGTGTGGAGAGGGCAGATTAACGGGCCCTTGCGTCAGGGAGCTCACGTGGGATAGGTTAATCCCCATAAGGTTTGGCTTGAAAAATCAGAGGGACTGAATTCTTTGAGTTTGTAAAACCAGTGGGACTTGGAGCCTGCAGCTTTAAAAGTCAACAGACTCAGCCCTGGGCGAGTGATTGCTGGGTTTCCACCCTTAAAGAGCAGCCTACTTACAGAGGCAACATAAAAACAGCAGTTTGCCAATGCTGGGGGAACAGGGGACAGATCTGTTCATACTGAGCACAGAGTATGTTAGGGGACTTCAAAAATGAGGGAGCTGGCAGGCGCATTTTCCTCCCGTACCCCCCAGCATAAACGGAGCCACCTGCGGGAGGTGGCGCTGCACAGACACCGCTACGTAACGTGCTACCAGAACACCACACGTACGGTTACCCCAGAGCCCTTGCCTCCTCCAAGCCTGCCAGCCTCGTCCCTGGGCTCAGCGCAAGTTTTGGTTTGTTTTTAAAGTTTTTATTTTTTTAAGTAATCTACACCCGGTGTGGGGCTCAAACTCCCCAACCTGAGACCAAGAGTCACGTGTTCCCCTGACCGAGCCAACCAAGCAAGCGCCCCCTCAGGGCAAATTTTGTTAAAGCCGCGCTTACACCCTACTGAGCCACCCGGTACACAGCTGCCGCTGCGTGAATTGCTCAGCTGCTGCCCCACGCCCAACCTCACATCCCCCCTTGGCCCCAGCACACAGCCCTCAGCTGCCACAGTGCTTTGGGGGATCCGGCGTAGGACTAGAGCCGCGACAGAAATTTTGCTGGCACTACTGCCCCGCTGCCAAGTTCCCCAGCAGGCATGCCCCTCAGAGCTGGCCTGCCTGGGTCCCACAAACACCACAGAGAACAAGCACAGCCCCCTACAGCAGAGTCCGTGCAGATGACCGCACTAAAAGGAAAAGTGACTCAGACCCAACAGGGGGGCGTAAGCAAAATGCGTAGGATACTCTCCTAAAGTGCCAAGTTCTGATAAACAGGACACTGCACTGCAGGGCACTCCGGGACCTCCTCTTCATAAAGTCACTACTTTATGAAGTAGTCCCTGGGTGGCTCAGTCAGTTAAGTGTTGGACTCCTGATCTCAGCTCAGGGTCATGAGTTCAAGCCCCTACTTAAAAAAAAAAAACAGAAGACCTAGCTGACTCTCTTAACATGCAGAAACAGACGCAGAGAAGCAGACAAAATGAGACAGAAATTTATCCCAAATCAAAGAACAAGACAAATCCATGGCCAGAGATCTAAGCAAAACAGATATAATTAACATGCCTAATAGAGAATTTAAAGCAATGATCCTAAGGATACTCAGTGGACTTGAGAAAAGAGTGGAAGACATGAGTGAGACATTTACCCAGAGATAAGGAATAACATAGCAGAGATAAAGGGCTCAATAAACAAAATGAGAAACACATTTGATGGAATAAATAGTGGGATGGAAGAAGCAGAATTAGTGACCCAGAAGACAGAGTAATGGAACATAATCAAGCTAAACAAAAGAGAGAAAAAAGAGTTACACAAAACAAGAACAGGGAATTCAGTGACTCCATCAAATGTACTAATATTTGCACTATAGGAGTCCCAGAAGAAGAGAGAAAAGGGGCAAAAAATTTATTCAAAGAAATAATAGCCGAAAACTTCCCTAATCTGGGAAAGTAAACAGATACCCAGATAGATGCAGGAGGCACAGAGAACTCCCATCAAAATCAACAAAAGCAGACCCACAAGTACGGTGCTAAAGAAAAAAAAATCTTAAAAGCAGCAAGACAAAAGAAGTCAATATCTTACAAGGGAAAACCCATAAGGCTAGTAGATTTTTCAACAGAACTTTGAAAGCCAGAAGGGAGTGGCATGATCTATTCAAAGTGCTGAATGGGAAATATCTGCAGCCAAGAATACTTTATCCAGCAAGGCTGTCATTCTGAGTAGACAGATTAAGGCTTTCCCAGACAAAAACTAAAGGAGTCTGTGACCACTAAACCAGCCCTGCAAGAAATATTAAAGAGGGATCTGTGAGTAGAAAGGAGATACCAGGGCTGCCCGGCTGGCTCAGTCATTACAGCATGTGACTCTTGATCTTGGGGTCATGAGTTCAAGCCCCACATTGAATACAGAGATTACTTAAATACATACTTTTTTTTTTTTCTTTTTAAAGGAGAGACCAAAAGTGACAGTATAAAGGTAGGAAAAACAAAAGCAGTAAAAATGAATATTTCTGTATAAAATTAGTCAAGGAACTCACCAAAAAAAGGATATAATAATATATACCTAAAATATACAGAGGAGAGGAAAAAAGAATGGGTTCAAACTTAAACGACCATCAATTTAATATAAACTGCTATTGAAGAAGGGTTTACATACAAACCTAATGATAACCATAACAGGGGCACCTGGGTGGCTTAGTTGGTTAAGTGTCCAATTCTTGATTTCAGCTCAGGACATGATCTCAGGGTTGTGAGATTGAGCCCCACATTGAACTCTGCACTCAGTGCAGAGTCAGCTTGTGGTTCTCTCTCTCACTCTCCCTATGCCCCCTCCCCGCACCGCACACACTCTCTCTCTCTCTCTCTCTAACAATAAATAAATAAATCTTAAAACAAAACCAAAAAACACTAATAGGGTGCCTGGGTGGCTCAGTTGGTTGGGTATCTGCCTTTGGCTCAAGTCATGATCCCAGGGTCCTGGGATCAAGTCCCAAGTCAGGCTTCCTGCTCGGCAAGGAGTCTGCTTCTCCCTCTCCCTCAGCTACTCTCTCTCTCTCTCTCTCCCTCTCTCTTTCTCTCCCTCTGTCAAATTAATAAAATCTTTTTAAAAATTTAAAAAATAAAAATTAAAAAAAACACTAATAAACATGCCAAGAATAAAGAGAAAGAAATCCAAATATATCACTAAGGAAAATCAGCAAAATATGAGAGAACAACAAGAAAGGATCAGAGAAAATCTTCAGAAATAACCACAAAATAAGTAACAAAATT